CAACTTGGGATGAAAAATTTCTATTATTGCTTACTCATTTAGTTTTATTTTCTAATTTAATTTTCGTTTCTCAATTAATTTATGTTTTTCATGTACTTTTCCTTTTAATTTAGTTTATGTTTTTCATTTAGATCTCATTAAGGGCATATACTATTATTTTTTAAGAACAACTTGAGACGCTAAAATTCTGCTATTGTTGACTCATTTAGTTTTCGTTTCTCAAATAATTTTAATTTGAAATATAGTTTTCATTTTCATAGTTCCCATTAAGGGTATATACAATTATTTTTTTATTAATTTATCATTATTATTGTTATTAACCAGTTATGTGTGAAAAGAAATCTAGTTGATGGGGTCAAAAGCAAACGCGTGGTATTTTTGTCCTCTAGTGGTTTCTCTCTTCTAGTTATAGATATATATAGATAGATAGATTAAGGGTATATACTATTATTTTTTTTAGCCCAATTTAGTATGGAAAACTTATGTTATTGCTTATTCATTTAGTTTTCGATTCTAATTTAATTTCTGTTTCTCAATTAATTTTTGTTTTTCATATAGTTTCCATTTTAGTTTAGTTTACGTTTTTCATTTAGTTCCCATTACGGGTATATATTTTTATTATTTTTAGCCCAACTTGGGACGAAAAACTTATGCTATCGCTGTCTCATTTAGTTTCTGAAACTAAATTAGTTTATTTTTCTCAAATAATTTTTATTTGAAATGTAGTTTCTGTTTTCATTTAGTTTACGATTTTTATTTAGTTCCCATTAAGATTATATACTATTATTTTTATATTAATTTATTATTATTATTATTATTAACCGGTTAAGTACGAAAAGGAATCTGGTATATGGGATCTAAAGCAGACACGTGTCATTTTTGTTCTCTAGTGGCTTCTCTATTCTACTTATATATAGATTTTTTTTTTCAATTTATATTTTTAATTAGTAATACCCTAACGTGTAAAACATTTTTATCCCTCTATTAATTTTAAATAACACTGATAAATTTTATCACATTGTGTGTGTTTTGCCCTCCACTTCATTGTCAGCTTCATATTATTTCTACATTAATTTATTTTTATTGTTGTTGTTATTAACCGGTTAAGTGTGAAAAGAAATCTGATTTACGGGATTTGAAGCATACACGTGGCATTTTTGTTCTTTACATACTTTTCCATTCTAGTTATATATAGAATGCCTTTTTTAATATATTCTTTTAATTAGTAATACCCTAACGTGTAAAACATTTTTATCCCTCTATTAATTTTAATTAACAATGACAAATTTTATTGTGAGTGTTTTGCGGCTTTTTCACCCTTTTGCCCCTTATTAATTAATTAATAACTATTTTGCCCCTGATTCGAAACTATCTACCAATCTGCCCCTCTTTAATCGACTACCTTACATTTTTAATCGACTAAACGGTTGTTGGGAGATTTAATCGACTAAATCTCCCTACTTAATCGATTAAAATCATACTGACTTATTTTTTTTTTGTCAAATATGAAGATTTAGTCGACTAAATAGGGAGATTTAGTCGACTAAATCTCCCAGCAGCCATTTTTTGTCTGTTTTGGCCATTTAGTCGATTAAAAATGCAAGGTAGTCGACTAAAGAGGGGCAGATTGATAAATAGTCTCGAATCAGGGACAAAATGGTTATTAATTAATTAATAAGGGGCAAAAAGGTGAAAAAGCCAGTGTTTTGCCCTCCACTTCATTGCCAGCTTCATATTGTGTGAGAAAACATGAGATGTTTATTAATCGTTCATAGCAGTAGTATATTTAGTAAGAGACGAAACAAAAAAAAAATCCTAATTTAAATAAAGAGTAAACACCTTTTTTAATCCCTGTCAATATCTACGAAGTCCTTTTTAGTCCCTGACAATAAAAAAAGACCAAATTGGTCCCTGAAATTACAAAAAAAGGGTCATGTTAGTCCTTATGTCAACTCCCAAATATGTAGAGTGGCCCTTTTCTTGTACTTTCAGGGACCAATTTGATCCTTTTTTATTGTCAGGGACTGAAAAGGACTTTGTAGATATTGCCAGGGACTAAAAAGGGTGTTTACTCTTAAATAAAAGTATTAGTTCCCAGGCTTGCGCATGGGCATCTTCTCCACTCTCTATACCAGAAGAAACCTGAAGCGAGTATCAATTAATCTAAAAACTGCTGCAAAAAAAATCCTAATATTTGGGAGAAAACTAAGGCAGAAACCAAACTATGTCATTTTGCTTTTTTAGAAAATTGGAAGGCAAAATATTCCGTGTAATAACATTTAATAGTGTTGTTTGAAATTAACAGTAGGGTATAGTGTTTTAAATGTTAGAGATATTATTGATTTAAAAAAATTGAAACATTTTTTATTCTAAGGTAAATATATATTGTAGGCATTTATAAAGTTTTTCCTTACTTTTACAGCATGAAAGACTCTTCTGCACACCAAAACTTTGTAAAAGTTGTTGTATGGGAAAAAGGAGTGTTCTTTTAACTATGCATTTTCAGGAATAATAGTTATAATATTAAAGTTGTACTTTTTTCACTTTCTACATCAGCAAACAGTTTCTAAAGAGAAAGAAATAGTATAACTTTAATATTATAATTATGCATTACTGGGAATGCATAGTTAAAACAGCTAAAATGACATAACTTGTATCCTTTCAAATGACACTCACTAAACCCTTATTGTATATGCATTGTTGGGCAAGTGGCTTCTTTACTTAGGATGCGGAAGAACACCTGAGGGGGGTGAATAGGTGTTTATAAATTTTTCTAAAACTTTTTATTAATAGATCCTTAAATCTGTAAAGTCTAGACAAAGTTAAACTATCAAGTTCAATCACCACACCAACACAGTAAGATTGACAGTTATCAATTTATATTACTATTTGAATTCAGTAAACAATCACACAATTTTTCTTTTGTCCCTATATGTCCAAAATAATTTTTCACAGTGCTAAGAACAATATAGTAACTGAAAGCGTACTTTAGCAGTTTAAAGAGTATAAACGCAACAATAAAATTTTCTTAAACAGAATAGAAAAATATTAATTCATCTACAACACTTTTGATATGTCACCAGAAAACCGCTATAGCACTTTCAAACCAGAAATCAGTGTTACTTTAAGTCTCTAAACAGAATATTCAGAAATTAAATCAAAGAGATAAGAGACACGATATATCCTGGTTCACACCCACTAAGCCTAAGTAGGGTGCTACGTCCAGACTGAAGTCGCTGCAGATATTTTATTTATCACAAGTGTACCTGTTTTACAAACACACATCACACAAGCAATCAAACAAAATATCAAAAATCTTCCTAGTGCCTATACTGCTCCAAGGTCTGAGACTACTCTCAAGTCGAACCTACGGAGTTCTCCAACTCCTCTCTCACAAGATCTCCACTCTCCTTAGTGGATTCTTGAGGCTCCAGGCCTTGAGACACACTCTCAAGCCAAACACAAGTTAGCCAACCTACTCGGTTGCACCCACACACCTAGGACTGATTTTATACACACGCGCACTTAACTTTAAACAAACAATACAATATCTTAGATTTATAAAAAAAAATTTATCAACCTATTATATGATGTATCAAATAAGGCGCAACAACAAGCTCCAAAATGATATGATATATGCAGAAAATTTAGAGCACAAGCATATGTATCACAAACTGCAAATTTTCAGCAATAAGGAACTTGTATATAATACTACACAAACTGCAAATTTTCAGCAATAAGAAACTTGTATATAATACTATCAAGTATCTAAATGATGGACAATTAGAATTTTTTATTTAAATAGAAACTATCACACTATATCCAAAAAAATCAGATTTGTAACATCTCTTAAAATTTCACAAAATTTACAGAATTAGTTCTAAATAAATCTTTTAATGATAAACCACAAGAAATCTAAATTTTAAGCACAATATACCTCAATTAAAACAGAAAATTCAGATTTAATATTCCAACAATAAAATTTCTAGAACAATTCAAGATTAGGCTTCTAAATAGTGAATCTCAAACAAAAATATGAATTAATTAACACAATGTATAACAAGGTATAAAAACAATTTCGGATTTGATGTTTTTAATCAATCTTTCACAAAAATTAAAAACGCAAATCTTACACAATTCCAACAATATATTGTTTAGGGTTCAAGAAGGTGGAAATGTTGATGGAAATTTGGGGATTTTGGAAGAAGATGATTAAACAATCTCACACACTCAAGAATCTTACACACAATAAGGCTTCAAAAATATTAATCTCACTAAGATGGCTTTTGCTCTTGAAGAATTCTGAAAAATGATGAGAGAGAGAGAGATTTTTGAAGTGAGAGATTTTTGAAGAGAGAGAAATGTAATTTTTGAGTTCTGAAAAATAGAGAACACTGAAAACGTTCTTTTAAATCATTTTTCGCGACTACTCGCCATTTTGCTCGAACGTTCGTGGACTTGAGCGAGCTGATTATTTATCCTGCCATTTTTCTCGAACGTACGATGACTTGAGCTAGCTATTATTTATCTCGACATTTAGCTCGAACGTAGAGAATCTGAGCGAGTTAAATTTGTCACATCGCGGTACAGACATTCTTCCATTGAATATTGCTTCGATATAATTAGTGCCTATAGGGTCTATAATTATAAGATATTTGAGGTTTTTTCCCGTGATCTCTTACCTCTATATCTTCTTAATCTTACCGTTCACTTGCCTTTTAATTAAAAATCTCCCTCCATCACTTTAAGCATGTAAGCAAAGTTCTTGTTTTGGAACTTAATACGAAGGACAATGTTTGAATAGTTCATTCAATAAAATCTCACTCAAGATTCAAGACCAATAAAGCTCAATATTTTCAACTAAAGTGCACACTTGTCCAATAAATAAATTGAACAATCCAATAAGCATAAGCCAATGCCAATAAGATCTAAAGAAAATTAAAACAGTTTCACAATCGTATTAAAAACATTGATGTTTGGAGTATTATGGCCTACATCCTTCATTGCTTGCAGTTGAACATTTGACCTTGTAACATGGTATAAGCTGCTTCATGAAATGGAAGAGTCTGTGGAGCAATAGTATTAGGCTGCATTGTCTGTATATTTCCATTGTAATAGCATAGTTGGTGATTTTCAATTTTTTCAGCTGTATCCTCCTTCAGCATAACATTTTTGGGAATATGAGTAACAGGACCAACTTGATCACCCCAACCCACAATTCCATTATTTCCCACCAATTGTGTTAAGTTTTGACCAAAATGAAGCTCGGAAGATTGAGAACTCTGGCCAAGATGAAATGGATAAAGTGACAGCTTGTTGTTAACACTAATTGCCTTCATATGGAGAGGGAAAGGTTGTGGTTGAGACATCATGAAATTAAGGTGACTACTAGTATTTGAGGCCATGTTGAGAGCAAGTGTGTCACCCTTGTCTGATTCTTCTATTGCTTTTCCCTTTGGGTCTGGTTTTAGACTAGTGAGTTTTTTATTACAGGCATCAATCTTAGCATCCAGCATACTAACAAACGCATTCAGTTGTTCCGTGGTAAGAGTATTGAAAGAATAATCCCAGGTTGGACACATGATCTTGAGCCTCTCTTTGCGCGCATTGAAAATTTCAGCTTCAACCTTTCTTATCCTATCCTTATAATACTCTTGCATATCATAGACTTTTGGACGCCTATCACTATCACTGTTAAGATACTTTTGAATGATGCGACATACCTCTGTTTTGTCTTGAGGCCATGTTTCAGGCTCAGCAAATTCTTGGCCTTCAAAGTTGGAGGCATAGATAATTGCGCAAACATCAACCCCACAAAGAGTGGCAAACTCGTAAACTTTCTTTATTAAGCCTCTCTTTCTCCTCAGAAATGTTGTCTTGCGATCTTTCTCATTTTGAATGAGTTCCATAGGTAATCTTTTACGACCCATTTTCTGAAATGTAGAACATTTGGCTCAGTCAAGAATGTGTTTTGCAATTTGTATTGATTTTTATTTTATTTGAGAAAAATATACATAATTATTATATTGCAATACAATAAGGCCCAAGAATAAATGGGTTATGTTGTTTGAATACATGATGCATAAACATGAAACTAAATCTCCAAGACTATGTTGGAGGGGATGCATTTAATCCAATGAAACCAAAGCAAAATCAACATGTAATGGATTAAATATACAGCATCAGATCATGACATGCATTACTTTTCCAACGTTCAATGATAAAAAATAAAAAATAAAAAAAATTGCACAACAAAAGTATAAGTGAGAGCTTACCTCTTTTTCTTTGTGATACCTTTTCTTCTTATCAGTTATCACTTCCTCTCTATTCTTTTTCACATTTTTCTCAGTTTTGCTAGCTGATATATATTACTTTATTGTGGGCTTTTTTCTATTTATTCAGTCATCTATTCCCTGATTTCGTATATTTGATTATTTACCAAGCATATGGTGCTGAATTTCTTTTAAATTTGAGTCATATCCTTTCCCTGATTGTTGAGCTCTAAATACCCAAAATCTTACTCATATATATTTCTTTTTTTATCATTGCACTTGGCTTTGGCCCCCAAAAAAATAGTATATTTTGAAAAAAAGATTGCACACTTCTCTTTCTTTTTCTTTTTCTTTTTAAATATGGAGTACACAATTATTTGGAAAATTATTAGAGTCTAATTGTCTATGTGGTATTTAATTATTATCATTTTGATATATTACGCTTTTCACGTGATTTCTTGTGCATGTAACTTTGTTTGTATATGATAAATGAAACAGTTTAACCATCATACCTCTATTTAAAAAAATGTTAAAATAAATTACCAAAAAAAGCAATAGTTTATAATGATAGTTTGATGATTGATTTTCTATTTCTTACCCTATTCATTCAAAAATTTCAAATATTTGGAAAAGTTTGAGGATATCACGTGATCAAAAATTTCAGCTATAAGAACATAAAATTTTCTTAACTTTTGAATTTTGGATCTTTTAAAAATAAAATTATAGAAGAATATATTGATTAATCAGGAAATAAAATCATAATAATAACATAATATAATAATGCTTCACGAATAAGCAATTGTTTATAATGATAATCGGATGATTGATTTCTATTTCTTACCCTATTCATTCAAAAAATTCAAATACTTGGAAAAGATTGAGGATATCACGTGATCAAGATTTTCGTCTAATAGAACATATATAAACTTTTCTTAATTTTTTGAATTTTGGATCTTTTAAAAATAAAATAATAGAAGAATATATTGATTAATTTGGAAATAAAATCATAATAATAACACAAAAATAATAATGCTTCACGAATAAGCAATTGTTTATAATGATAATCTGTGATTGATTTTCTATTTCTTATCCTATTCATTCAAAAAATTCAAATATTTGGAAAAGTTTGACGATCGATATCACGTGATCAAAATTTCCGTCTATTAGAACATAAATTTTTCTTTATTTTTTGAATTTTGGGTATTTTAAAAATAAAATAATAGAAGAATATATTGATTAGTCAGAAAATAAAATCATAATAATAACAAAAAATGTAATAATGCTTGACGAATAAGCAATTTTTATAATGATAATCTGATGATTGATATTCTATTTCTTACCTTATTCATTCAAAAAAATTCAAATATTTAGAAAAGTTTGAGGATATCACGTGATCAAAATTTTCGTCTATTAAAACATAAACTTTTCTTAAATTTTTGAATTCTGGATCTTTGAAAAATAAAATAATAAAAGAATATATTGATGAATTAGGAAATAAAATCATAATAATAAATGATAATAATGGATATCAAAAAAATCATAATAATAACACAAAAATGATAATCCTTCGCGAATAAGCAATTGTTTATAATGATAATCTGTTGATTGATTTTCTATTTCTTACCTTATTCATTCAAAAAAATTCAAATATTTAGAAAAGTTTGAGGATTTCACGTGATCAAAATTTTCGTCTATTAAAACATAAACTTTTCTTAAATTTTTGAATTTTGAATCTTTTAAAAATAAAATAATAAAAGAATATATTGATGAATTAGGAAATAAAATCATAATAATAAATGATAATAATGGATACCAAAAAAATTCATAATAATAACACACAAATGATAATCCTTCGCGAATAAGCAATTGTTTATAATGATAATCTGTTGATTGATTTTCTATTTGTTACCCTATTCAATCAAAAAATTCAAATACTTGAAAAAAATTGATGATATCACGTGGTCAAAATTTTCGTATATTAGAACATTAACTTTAATTTTCCTTAATTTTTTGAATTTGTTACCTTATAAAAATAAAATAATATAAGAATATAGTGATTAATTAGGAAATAAAATCATAACAATAACACAAGAAAAATAATACTTCACCAATAAGGATGTAAATAGGTTAGATAACTTATAGAGGCCTGTGGCCGGACCTTTGTCTGGTCATGTGCATGTAATGCCTCGTGTGCCCATAATTTATGACTCCTTATCATCTCATGATAGTTACTTGAATTTTAAAATTTATATAGATAAAAAACACTCAACATTTGCTCAACTACAATTCCTAATGGAATTGATATTGTCCAAGAAGACTCATCTAAGTCTTAAATAACAACTAATAATAACAATGGAGGATCTCACAAATTATTTCACAGAGCATATATATGCTCCATGCCTAGCGTAATTCAAACTTAAGAACATGCCTACTTTAGCAATTAACCATCAATCAACAGCAGCACCACAATCAAAATTATAGTATATCTATATTGGACGGCAATAGAATCATACAGAATTCTGTCAGCGTGTATTCAATTTAAAACTAAGAATGCATTCTAGTTCCTTAAATCTTGATATTTCAAAAACTAGACATATATGGCTTTAAAATGACATCTCAATTGCTGAATTTGGATGAGAAATGATAGAGTTTTGAATTTTACAAAACAAATCTTTACTCTATGCAGAATTAGGAATGCATTTTAACACCATAAATGCTGATATTTTAGGATATAAAAATAGATATCTTAAGCTTTAAAATGAAGCCTTATTCACTTAATTTTGTTTAGTGTTGAGGGAGTTATCAATTTTACGAAAAAATCAATTTAGATATGTTCTGGACGAACATCAATGCAGGTTCTTTCTAATTCTTAGTCCCCTTCTAGACCATTGTCATATATATATATATATACATATATATATATATCTGGCTTAGGTAGTTATACTAAACGTGGGTGGTGATAGATACTATCATGTAATCGTGGTAGGGCCCACCTTAGGTACCAATACATGGAATAACTAACCAGCTATCTGAGTAAAGGTCTTTCCGGGTTCAATCAGTCGGTTTCCACGGCTAGTGATACCCGGGCATATAAACCCGGAACAAGGTAACTAGGTGAAGTAATAGATATCAATTAACAATTACAAGTTCTTTCCAATTTTCCAGAATTCATCTAGACTCAAAACTGAACCACACGCATACTCCCTTCTTGAAGAGTAATTTGATCATAGATTATCATACTCATGTGGGATCTTGGACATGCTCACTTTCCTAACTGGAATTTCTGTTTAAAGCATTCGGATATAACAATACAAAGGTTGTCCTATAAGTCATGCAGTCACGTGCTCAAGTAGTATTAGTTTACATACCTAACCACTAACCATTTTGCTCATAATTTATCTTCCCCACGAATGACCTACATACATATATAAGTTCAAACTCATACAAGTGGTAACAATTCTACTATACACCTGTTTTCCTCTGAATTACACATTAATACATACTTCATATTCATTAATCCAAAATAGTCCAAGTGATTTTATAAATTGGACAACCAAGTACTTAGTCACAAAGTTCTTGTTAATAACATGCTTCATGTTTTCCTTCTACAACACAGGTTGTTCCACACCCATCATCATTACAAAACATACATTTTTATACAACTTCCAAAACATTAAAGTCCATGTATAAATAACATTTGCTTCCAATCCTTTTCCAGTAGTGGCCTCCTTGCCGTCTCCATTCTTTCCTACAATACAATCTGTAAATAAGTCCGAGGTGTCTGATAGCGGGATTTTGTTTAGATTTTATTTGGTTGAGGATTTTTAAAAAATTTCTCGGAAATATGATTTTTCCGAGATTTTATTTTATGAGCAAAATTTATCCAAGAATACTATCCAAATCAGGATTGTATTCGTGGATTCCTGGGAAAATGGTAAATTTCTACACATTTCTAACAATATTTTACAATCAACTAAACATAACATCAGGAAAATTGATGCAACACTTCTAGGAATATTTTGGCCTACGAAACAATTTTTTTGTAATATTCTCAGAAAAGCCAATTTCCCACTATATTCCTGGGAATTGTGATTCCGAATAAAAAAAGTTTATCCTCTGTGCCCCCTTAGGACATTTCCCAAGATATAGTTTTTTCCTTGCATTTAAAGTTAGTGAAACATCATACAATGATAATGAATTTCATGAAAATTACATAGGAAGCTTCAAGTATTATTTTTTTTGCGATTATCTCCCTGTAATCTCATAGGTTCCCTATGGACTAATCCGGAGTTCGGGGTGAGTTCAAGATTAAAGTTTTAAATTCCTCCCAAATGTGGTACTAGGGAGAATCAAATACATACTCCCACCCCCACATATAGCTTCAAGCATATTATCATTAATCATTTAATCACTAATTTACACACTTGTTTGTCATAATACCTTCATGAATCCAAGATTAAAACATAGGGTACCGAAAAGGTATTCCTTGTCTATTATACCTGGTAAGGCTTTCAATATTGACATACACAATCATACTTAGCAATTGATTCTTCTCATAGCAAACAATAATCAAAAATAGGATTGTCAATTTTTACAACCTTCAATCAATCTATTACTTGGTTGATAGATCCCATATGTTGGGAGCTATTTTGTGTGTT